CTTGTGCACACACACACACACACACACACACACACACACACACACACACTAACATACATACAATAACACATTTTTCTTAACTCAAAAATAATTGCTGACTAGTCAAAACACTTGAAAACACACATCAACATAAGAACTTGAAATTGATACTAAGAATATAAAAATCAAAGCTGAGTGCAGTAAATCACACTGGTGAGCTCAGCACTTAGGACACTGATGTAAGAAGATTGGGAGTTTGAGGCCAACATAGAATACATAGCAGTTTCAAGTCAACCTGGGCAACAAAGCGCACGAGGGAAAAAGGTGATGAAACAACATTAACAATGGCAGTATTTATTTATTAATTATTTTTGGTTTTTCGAGACAGGGTTTCTCTGTAGCTTTGGAACCTATCCTAGAACTAGCTCTTGTAGAGGCTGATCTGGAACTCACAGACATCCACCAACAATGGCTTTTTTGTATTTTCCTAATTAGAAAAAGATGTATAAAGACAATGAGGACTTTAATAAACTGGAAAAATCTTGAACAGGAGATTATACTCAAACTCAGTAGTGAGTTTAACGAGAGCCGGTCCGTAGTCCATAAGGTTAAGATATCTTTATTCAGATAAACACCAGCCAAACACAAGCCAGAGAGTGCCAGGGGCAGCAAGGCAGGCAGGCCAGAGAGAAGGGTCTCCCATGTGCCTTGCAGTCCCTTAAAAACCTATTACCCTTCATTCTGACCTCACCTTGACCACACCCTAACAGGTGTGGTTAGGCACACCTGTAGCCAGCCTCTAACAGGTGTGGCTTACTGTCCCCCACCAGTGAGTTTGAGGAGGGGAGAATCTGAATCCTGTCAGGCCACGCCCCTTCCTTCACAATCTGGCATGCCTCAGGCACAGACAGGATGTGGTGTCTCTTACACTTGGCACAGGTGAGAGTGCCCAAAAGGAACCAAACACACTGCAGGGATGCCCACCTAGCCTCATGGTTATCTGAGCACACAAGGCCATACTTCAAGGCCTGCTGTGAGTCCATCTTCTCTCAACTCCAAGTCATCAAGAAATGTTGCCTTGGGTTGCGGTGCATAGACAGTGTCCAGTTATGCATAACAAGGAACTAGATGACAGCAATCCCACTCAGAGACAAAAACCAGACTTTATCTATGGTTATCAACTGTGTTCTGTGCCTCACTGATCAAACCACCTGCTCTGTGAGTAAGCCACCTACTCAGTCTTCCTAACACTCCAACGTGGGAGGTGAGGATAGCTACATCTTACTGATGAATCCTGGCCCCAGGACTGGTCCCGAGCTGTCTCCTGTGTAGGAGCTACACAGTGCAGTGACGGGGGATACAGTCTCTAGTTGAAATGCCAGCTGTGTGACCTTTGGCAAATTATTAACTTCTCTGTGCCTGTTTCCTCCTCTGTTAATAAAGACTGGTCATAAGCTCTACCTCATGGGATCCCCATGAGGATTAAATGACTTAGCTGCTACTTAGAGGAACTCCTAGTACAAAAGGGTCCACTCTCATTAGTCATGTCTCAACATCCTTCTGTTTCCATTCGCTTCTTCATCCAATTGGGGCTCTGTTGGGGGACTGTGAAATGCAGGTTCTAGGTCAAGGTTTCTCATTTATCAGCACATGGGCTTGGGGAGTGGGGGATCACGACAAAGTCCTCTTCTCTCTCTGCTAAACTTGATCTGTGCTGAAGAGCACTGGCCAGACAATGATGATGCAAAGAAGCCAGCTGTGAACAAGATTGCCATTAAGTTCCCCAAGGCACAGGTCCCATCTGATTCTGTCAAGGGACCTAGGTGCTCACAGCAGGTTTACAGCAAGGATCTGCAATATAGTGGGGGTGGGGGTGTGGCAAGAACGTTCCGGATGGTATGGCAGAGTGGGTGGGGATTGGATAACATGATCCCAGCCTAACCTAAGAGTCCACTGACAGACTTTCCTACCCCCGGCAAAGGGTCACCTGCAGGGGCCTGCTGAGACCACACCAGGTATTAACAGCCTAATCAGGCTTGTAAACACCACTCAGTGAACATGGATGCAGTAGTGTAGAAACCACCCAGAGAGGAGATGACCGGAGCAGGTAAAGGACAAGTCAGGTGAGCTTTGGGACTCAGATTCTGTGTCGGTTCCATCTCTGACATCTATGGTCAACTGGGGTGTAGTCTTCAGGAGACTAGGCAACTCCGCTTATTCATGACCTTTAGACAAGGCTTTTCTCCATGGAACCAGAAAGATGACAAGATCTAGTTAGTTAGTCTTCACCATGACTCGAGGCTATGTATCCCTATTCTCCTCTGACTTCCTTCGAGTACTTGAATTAGACAAATTATGTCACAACCAAGAACCATCTCTTCCAGTGGAAAATCTAATCCTAAATTACAAGGTATACCTATTTTATCCAGATGTCGTAGCCTTAACGAAGCATTCATTCTATCTTAAAGGAATTTGGGATCTGAATCAAGAATTACTTGCTCAAAGATCCACTAAAGAACTTCTTTCAAGTTTGCATAGGATATCCCTCATCCTTTCAATGACGGAAGATGTTGGGCCTTCCAAGGATGAAAGATATTGGGCCTCAACGATTTCACAGGAAACAAATATTGACAGGAAACAAAGAAGCTATAACACAAGGCATTGAGAACTATATACACAAGTCATCCTCTGTGCTTCTTGGAACATCAAGAAAGGTGTTCAGGAAAAGAGTCATCCAAATGAGCTGTGAAGGGTTCTGTGTGCTTGTGAGTGGGTAAGAGGAGCCAGAGGGGAGAGAGAGAGAGAGAGAGAGAGAGAGAGAGAGAGAGAGAGAGAGACAGCGCACGAAGTACTGGGGTGAGCCAGGGAGTGGCCTGAGCCTGAAGGGTATGCTGTGTGCAGACATGGAGGAGCAAAAGTCGAAAAGATAACCTACTCCGTGAGGTAGAGCCTCCACACCCAGCTTGTACTTTCCCGAGGTGGTAGGCACATAGCTACCCAACCAGCAAGGGGCAGGCAGGATCACAGTTTTGATTTAACAGGTAATCAGCCTGAAGGATAGGCCCCAGGGTAAGCCGTTCCAAGAGCTGATGCTTTGCTGAGCTAAAGCTTGAAATGGTCAAAGGAGAACAGCTAGGGACCAAAAGTCAGACTAAAGATGAACCAGGTGAACTCCAGAATAGCAGAGAGTTAAGTTAGGCTGACTGGCATAGGGATTGCTCTGCTGTTAATCAACACTGAACACAAGGCAGACCAAGCTGACTGGACCAGTCCTGGTTTTTGAACTAGCTGAAATTTAAAAACAGCT